AGGCGGGCATCGATCCGGGATTCGATCCCCTGACCGTGCGTGTGATATAGTGCGCCACTTGCCACTACACCGCCTCCGCCCTTTATATAGTAGGAATTTTCAAAGTAAAATTTAGCGAATTAACATGATAAATCATATAAGAGAGGACTCGCTCACTTACAGAGTATAAACTGACCTGAGCACAGGTTTCGTTGAGATTTTGATGTCTCATAAATCGTAAAATGGATTCATAAACGGGAATGTAGAATAAGTATCCAATATTATCACGTATAAATATTATTTTTCCACCCTGTAAAGGTTTTTTTTGTTATTGAGTTGATAATTCAAAGGCAATAGATGGTAAAATATGTAAGAGGACCTCACATGGCTACGATTGAGGCCTGAAGCCTTAGTAACCTCACCTTGAACAGTCCTCCTGGGCCTTCAGTTTTTATCACATGTCGTGCACATTCCATAGGACCAGCGTAAAGTGTCTCAGCATGTCGCTTGAAGTGTGAGACATTTTCTCGTTGAACCTGAAAAATTGGGATTTGAAAAATTCCTGCAAACGGTTGAATTCATGTAGATTTGGATCTTGAGCCGTTTTTTTCTGGAGTGCGCCATGCAATCGTCGAACAGCGGCGACTTCAAAAGTACCACGATATACAAAACTACTGCTCACTACTTTACATTATTTAGAGGGAAATTTATCTGGTTTGATGTTCAGAATGACCTTTCGTATATAATGGTTACCTGAAGACGTGTCTTCAACAATTCCACTGGTATAACTGGTATGACTTGCGCCCATGTGCCGAATATTGAAGCGATTAGAATCTGTAAATGTGTAAACCCATGGATAAATCTGGACCGTCTTCTGTCAAAAGCTATTTCTACAATCACCTCAGCCTACACACACACAGTAAGGTTGAATTGGCTAAATGTAGCTCAAGGAATTTTTCAACCAGCAAAGCTCCACCTACTGCTGAAGTCCCACCCCCAACGACTCGATCAATTTTTTTCGTAACTATATTGGTCATCCGTAAATTCCAAAGAGGGTAAGATATCTGGCCATAGTGTGAATCCTCCTTACCCGTACAGGACTCATTTCGGGTTTCACCCCATACCTTTGAAGGAGGGGGAAATTTGATTCTACTTTGTTCNTAAGAATGAGCTGATCTGCTGCTTCCTCCGAACCACTTTTTTGGCACAATTTCCCCAAACTTACAGTCAGCCATTCCATTCAAACACATCCGTGCAGCCAGTTCTAAAGGTTAAGCCATACCTCCGACATTGGCAGATCCTTTCTGGCTTCCACATTTGATTCACCTGGATGCAGAAATCGTAGCGCTATGCCATAACCAGCAAAAAGAAGCGAATGTAAAGCACCAGTGGACAGGAACGGTATCCACATCCCTTTGTATAAGCCATAGATCTGAGCTAATAAGGCAAAAATCGATTCTTAACTTATAACCAATTGTTTTTATAATAAAAATATTTAATGATTACGGTAAAAGAGATAACTCACTGTTTCTTGTCGAGCTGTCTTGATTGCACAGTCAATAATGCCTTTATAAGCGTTCATCGTCTGCAACCGGGCTTTCACAGTGTCCAGCGGATGACCGACCAGAAGCCCTGCCCCGCCTGATTATAAAAAAAATCACTGGACTCACCAATTAATGGGGTTTTTAGCCAATAGAAATGTTAGTTTTCAAATGTTTGATTTTTCAGGGCAATTTTGGTGTAATTCTGATTAATTATGCAAAAATCTCAGGTAAANAAATTTTTTTGCCTGCTTATTTTTATATTTAATATTTCACATGTACTGCTTATTTGCATCAGTTATAGGTCGTTATAATATTTCGCGATATCCTATTTTATTACTCAATTTGGAAATGTTAAAAATGCAATCGGAAAAATCAAAGTAGGGGTTTTTCAGTGGGTTACAGTATAATAAATTTACAAGCAGCTTTATTGTCGAAACAAAAGTGACAAAAATATGTTTACAATCAAAAATATAAAATATAAATCTTAAAAGACTCCAATAAAATATACTGATGATCAAATGTAACTTTGTAAGATATATAACAATAGAATTTTGAACTAATTCTAATTGTTTATCCGTAAATCTCAATTAAACTTTTTCGCCTGCTCATGTGGTATATTTAAAATTTCATATTCATTCCTCTCCTTATTTCCATCAAATATCGATCGCTATAATATTTCTCGATAGCCTATTTTATTCCTCAGTTTGGAAATGTTAAAAATGCCATCGGAAAAATCAATGTGGGGTTTTTCAGAGGGTTACTGTATAATAAATTTACGAACAGTTTAGCTTTATTGTCAAAAAAGTGTCAAAAATATGTTTACAATCAAAAATATAAAATATAAATCTTAGAAGACTACAATAAAATATTCTTATGATCAAATGTAATTTTATGAGATATATAACTATAGATAAATGAATGATATGATGCACTCACCTGCAGCCCATCCGGCTATGAAATCCGCATACATCAGTTGTCGGACTGCACTGGACAACAGTACACCTGAAGTTGTTTACTGTTTACAGCAATACG